GGGATGGAGGAGACTGGGGGACAGTGACAGGACAGGGGAGATGGAGGGGATGGAGGAGACTGGGGGATAGAGGGGATGGAGGAGACTGGGGGATGGAGGGGATGGAGGAGACTGGGGGATGGAGGAGACTGGGGGATGGAGGGGATGGAGGAGACTGGCAAAACGGGCGAGGAGACAGATGCAGATTAGGCCCCGGAAGATGAGGGTGTAAAAGGGATTTAATGGTCGCATGGATTCGGGAAATCCTTGTAACAATGTTAAATAATTACAGTTCCAGCTGAGATCAAAGAGCCATTGATTGAACCCCTGAAGCATTTAGCACAGGGAGTCGTGGAAAGTGAAGATAAACCAGTAACTGGTAAACTAGTACTGAGCCACACTCTGGCCACGCAAATTAAACTGGATGGGGAATATTAGAAAGTTTGATGAACTCCTCGGAGCTGCTTTCAAAGCTTCTGTTTCTGGGACTGTTACCCCAGAAGCATTTCCAAACGTTTAATGACGACGTCTCAGCAAACTGATTAGTGAGCATGTCACACCAACAGAGCTGTGTTAACGAGAGGCTCTTAATGTTATGTACGTGTTCAAAGACGCTGTTTTTTTATTTGTGAAAAAGCTCTGATTGACAGCAGAGTTGTTGACCTCAGGCATAGTCTGAGGTTCATGGCACAAAGATCAACTGTATCCTGACAAAAGGCAAAAAACATTCCTCTAGATACCCCTAGACAGCAATGCAACCTGGGTGGATCTCAGTCATTCAGGGATACACAGCTGAACACAGAATCACCTTTGAATCTGAAGCTTGATTTAAAAACACAGTCCAAAACACGTTGAAAAAAATCAAAAAACGGAAATGTGGTAAACATGATCAATACTCATTTGTACAGTATCCACGAAAATTAATTGAGCCTCAGAACTGAGTGGCTTTATAAGTGTGCTTGCTGGCACTTGGAGGGTATGAATTTCCCGATTCATATCAACACCAGCGCAGCAAGTGACGCATGACATCGACCCCTATAAACATACTCTATTCTGACAGCTTCAGACGGATCTGTGGTAGTGCTTCAGTGTAGTTTTTACACAAAGGACACTAATTAATAGTCCATTAGTAGCTAGATAGCAACCAATTATACCTCAGTAAGGGTTATTTTGAAAGTGTGTTTTAATCATGCTTAGTATGAAAGGTTTTCATAGATTATTTTTTTTTCATTGGATTTTTCAGTAAATCTGTTATGATGAGAGTAGCTTTTCTAACTCTGGGGTTCTGAAGATACGTATGATAAAATGATTCAGAGCTCCGTGGATAAATCTGACCTATAGACGGAGGAGGTGGGAGTACAGGACACTGGGGGTAGGGGCTGGGGATGGCTGTGCCGCCATGGGGCCTCCTCCCTCCCCATGAGCCCAATACAGGGCACAGAAATGCATCTGCACCCTGAGCCGTACAACAACCCCCCCAACCAACCGTACTGCAGAGTTCCTACAGTATGTTTGACCTGGGTGCTCCTCCCTCCCCAGCCAGGCGAGTTATGAATATGTTTTCAGGTGGGGGGGGGGGGGGTTTAGTTGTTAACCAAATTAAAATACCAAATAATAATGATAATGGTAAAAGGAATAATCAAAATGCAGAAGCATGGTGTCGCCGATTGTGTGAGTACCGCGGTATTCAATTATCCCGTTTTCATTGGCATATTAATCATCTTTTCAACAAACAAGTCGGCGTTAATTAAAGCGAGGCACGGACGTGTTACAGGATCATCACTCGGTTTATCACCACCAACAGGCCCGCAGTTAAGGAAATCTGTGCTGTGAGATGAATTTCAATGCTCTCTTTGCGTCTTTTATCTTAGTGTGTGTGTGTGTGTGTGTGTGTGTGTATGGTGGGGGGGAGCGCAGGGCCTTCAATGCACTTTAAATACAACCATTCAGAATTTTTTTTAAATCCCAGTGCTCCTGCACGGGGGGAGGAAGATTATCTGTATTTTCTGCGTGAAACCTGAGTGAGGTCTTGTTACACCATAAAAGGTGACCACTTTCTGGAACGTTCCAGCAGCTCTCATATAGAGCCCTCGGACTGGTTAGCGCGCTTGGTGCAGCAGACCAATCAAGAGAATCACTCAGCTGCCGGCCAGAGCAGGGAAGACATTAATTAAGAAAATAGCTGCTGTTGTTCATATGATAATTTTGCCATTTGCTTTCGACGTGGCCTCTTGCACTTCGCCTGCCTCCGTCCCGCCTGGCCTGTGTTTCACCACAGTCTTACCTTAATTGTTTATTTGTGGAGAGAGAGTCTCAGTGGACTTCTGTGAAGGTTTTCCCTGTTTGTCAGGAACACTAATAATCGCTTGGGTTTATTTTGTGTATTTATTTATTTTTTTACCATTTAGATGCTGGATCACGAGCGTGTAAAGGAGATTAATTAGGGTCCTGTTGGATACACACGAGATGGTATATTACTCCATGGATTAGAATGCTGTGCTTGTGATCGGAAGGTCACTGGTTCAAGTCCCAGGGGTGGGAGAGTGGTTTCACCAGTGGGCCCTTGAGTTAGGCCCTTAACCAACAACCATTTCATCCAGGAACTGGCTGACCCTGCAATGTCAATAAAAACAATAAAAGTGCTACATAAAATGTAGATATACTGGAATACTCTGTCTACAGTTAGATCTGTACAGGCAGGCTGAGTGTGAGCATGATGTGGGATGGGGCTGAGTGGGGCCCCGTCGTTGCAGGGCGATCACGTGGGCGTCGGAGCTGATGGGCGACTCCCCACCGGGCTTAAACGGTCGGAGGCATCCGGCTGCACTGTAATCGCCGAGGAGCCGAATCCGGCACCGCGGCCCCGCCGTGCCGTCGTGCCACAGTCAGCCTGAATCCGAAAGCACTCGGACAGATGGCTGCATCGGAGTGTGAGTGAGATAGGAAAGTCAGAAAGCCGCGCGCCACAATGGCGGAGAAAGACCGGAACACTCTCCAGCCCAAGATGGAGCTGGTCCAAATCCACGGGCCCTATCAGACAAATTAAAGTAAATCAAGCATGAAATGAAGCAGAAGAGCCTGAAGATAAGGCCCCTTTAAGTCGTTTACAGATTAGGACGGAGAGTGAGGTGCCTGTGCTCTCTGACGGCGACGGAGGCTGGTTTCCTATTTCACATCGGCGGGCCGTGTGTCCGATCTCATTTAGCGACGGCCAGAAGGTTCCCAGATCGGTCCAGAAATGTCAAGACCGAGTCCCAGATGGGCGGTCGCATGTGCGAGGAGGCTGCTTTTCCACGCAGAGGGTCCTTGTCATATCTCTCAAGTGATGGAGACGTTAGACGGACCTTTTCTGGGGCAGCAAATCCCTCAGTGTTTGTCCGGCGGTGGTCGCTTTGAAGCTCTGAAGCAGCTGTATCAGAAGGAGCCCGTCGTAACTTCAGTGTTTCTGGAAAACACAGGAGCATACATCAACGCTCACAAAGTCACCGCAGGGCGTCACACCTGTGTGATGTAAGAGGATTAAATTAAAGGCCGTAAGGATGAAACTGGAGTTTGTCGATGAGCCTCCAAACTCCTGGTGCGCTTCTATACCAAACCTAATGCTTATTCCTTTCTGATTTTTTTTTTCTGCCTCATTTGGAATGACTCCAGCCCGAACTAGCGAGCACCGTAGGCCGACACGTGAGAAATGCCAGCGTCCACACATCTCGTACATCAGTGCCTGATCCTCTGCTTAAACCCTCTCGAGTGCATCTCAAAAAGTGCCCCCAGAAATGAATGATCTATCTCACTTTTTCCACTTATGGGATTCACATTAACACCGGTTGTGGGTGGAGAAAAGCGTTAACCTTCTTATCTTATGCCCCTCAAACTGCTCAGAGTAGAGCCTACTTATGAAGGATTGGCCAGGAAATCGCAGTTCTGGCGGATATGGGGGTCTGGTAATGAACTGTAGGATCTAGAGGAGAGACACGGTGATACTGACGACAGCTGCAGGCAGTGGGACGGCAGTCACGTCCTCTGATGTAATCCCAAACGCGCTGGAAGTCACAGTGTAAGAGCGTTAAACTAGTGAACCCTAAAGACAAGCACTACGGGTGTGATAAATCCAGGTTTGGAGCCACCAGGATGCGGTATCTCTTCAAGCAAAGTTCCTCCTTGACTCAGTCTCCTTTTTTTGGTCCTTAATCGCATTTAGATGACTAATTTAGCGAGCCTCACTCCAAAAATGACCCCTCTGAAAAGATCAGTCTCACACAATCTGTTCTACTACCTTTGGTATCTGTGCATAAATTATGCTCTAGGGATAAACTGTAGATCCTCAAATTAAAAAAAAATATTTATTTGAAGCCTGTCCAGCAGTAAGGAGTAGAGAGTGGCCTCTGATGTTGCTGGACGCTGGCCGTGGACGTGTCCACATCCTCTTTAGATGTTTCTTCCAGGTCTGTTTCCTGCCTGTGTGGCGTGTGTGTCAGTATCTCGGTGAAATGGATCACCTGACCACTGAGACACGCCTCCTTGTCTTCCTACACTCACGGCTAGAGAATTACAGTTTATCTGCACATTAGTCCACAGCTTGAGGTCAAACTGCAATTTTTTGTTCATTGGCAAAGCCAAAGAGCTCTGCTTTATCAGGTCATCTACTGAAATCTTCTTGCTTTTTATCGTTATTAATAGCTCATCACATCGCACAATCCCCTTACCATCCCTGGACTGGTGGTCTGCCTTAGCTCCTCCAGGTCTCCACGAACCTCTTCCCATCTCCATGAAGTTTTCATGAGGCTTTCATGTTTTAAAAAAGGTCACGATGCCTCCGATGTGGTGCACTCTGCAGTCATAGAGCCAGCTGTCTTATCTAAACGTGACGCCATGTCTCCTGCAGCCTTGAGAATCTAAGGCATATTTTGTGGACGGATTTCAAAAAGTTCCCCCTAGGGATGTACAATATGTAATACGCACCTTGCCTGGCTTCCTGTGCAGCTGTCAATAGCCCTCCCACTGCTACTTAATCAAAATCATTTACAGAGATCTAGAGTAGGGATTTGCGTTTATTTATTTATAAAACGCTTTTGTCCAAAGCGACGTATGAATAAGGAAAGCGCAGGGTCAGGGAGCAGGGTCGGCCGACATCCAGCGTGAAGTCTGTGGGAATGAAGCCCATGTGCTGAGATTTCCCAGCTGAAGATAAAGCATGATGGCCATGGTTGTGTGGAGCTAGCACTGTGCACCTGGGCTCTTTTTGGGCACTTTTGGGGATTTCGTTTGTGCCCGCAGCTACATTTATCTTCAGATCATGTGCTTTTGGCCATTAGCCATGTCTGCTTTGATAATTCCCCTGCCGCTTTAATGAAAGTTCAAAAAAAGATTCTCATAGATGAGGATCTGGAAAATCTGCATATGGATTAGACCAGGGGTAGACATCTCTGATCCAGGAGTGTCGGAATCCAGCAGGTTTTCTATCCTACCTGATGAGTTACTATCTGCCTGAGATCAGGTGAGGTTCATCAGAGAGCAGGTAGGATAGAAAACCTGCTGGATCCCGGCACTCTAGGATCAGGTCTGCCTACCCCTGGATTAGACACAGCTTTTAAAGGTGCCAGTAACTTTACCCAAACTGTGTTTTGCTGCCATTCCCTTGGTGTTAGACACTTACGTGTGACACAGTTGTTAGAAAACAGCAGTCGTGATCCAAGCCACGTTTCCGCCATGCCTTTGCATAAAGAACCAGAGTCGTACCGGTCCACAACGTTGCTCAACATTACCGGAAAAGTATGAGGTGAAACCATCCCGTATCTCTGCTAGTTTGGATGAGAGCATCAGCTACTGCGTGAAGATGAGTAACCTAAATAAAATATGATGCCATTAGCTCACTGCCATCCAGCAGAGGCACAGAAGTGGCGAAGGTGCCCTGTTCCTGGTTTGAGGCCCTTATCCTGCAAAGCCTTAGGCCTTTAACAATAAAAGCACTCTGTTGTCTAGGCAACAGAGACTGTGGAGGTCCACAGTGCTAAGGTGCTTTCCTGTAATGCGGTTCATTAACCGAAGTTCAGCTTGGACTTTACTGGAACACAGGATGGAGTCTTGTACTCACTGACCAAGGCTACGACACCCCATAATTGCATGAACTCCTCCAAGGAAACTGGCAATTTTGATAGCATCGGTTTCTTGGACCGAGATCATTTCGCCTGTACCGATAAACATTGGATGACACGTACAGATAAAGAGTAACTTCAAAAAAGAAACTAAATGCGTTAAGTTGCTAGAATCGCTCTGGAATGACGCCAACGAGTAGCAATTAGCGATTAGCAGTTAGCAATTAGCTTTGGTTTGCCCCACACCAACACTCTGTGTCTCTGTTCCAGGAGAGCTCCAGGTTGTCATTAAAGATGGAGAACGGCAGATCCAGAGTCGGCAGTCGCTTCCGGTGGGCACGACGTGGGGACCATACGAGGGGAAGCTCGAGGCGAGCCCAGACGGCAGCCTGGTAGGTCTCTCCATTAGCAGAACCCTCTCCGTTTTGTTCCTTTGTTATTGTCTTCCGAATTTCTCTTACCAGATGGTTGAGATCATTAAATTTTCATGCTGCTCAACTTTCCTCAACGTGTTTCCACTTCCCACTTCGGCGTTCATCACTAGAGAGTTGCTGCTTGAACAGAGTCAAAAAAAGCCAATTTAATGGGAGGGAGGCAAAATTCCCATGATGCCTTGTGACAAACGTAGCTCCGGTAGTTGACTGTTCTGGGATCAAACTGGCCTTAGCAAAAGGCTTTGAAGTTCATTTATTTTAACTCTTTAATCTGCACATTTTATGACAAAATTATATAAATGCTGGATTCAGAGTCTGGTCCAGACTGTGATTCACTCAGGTTGCCATTTTCAACACTTGATGTTATTCTCAACAGACTCTACAGTTTGTGCTGTATGTTTAAAACTCTTATAACTACTTAAAAATGGTGCGACCTTGCTGCTCTGTTGGGAGGAGATCCTTCTGTTTTTGATGTCTATTTTTGTTTCATTAAAAAATATTAACAAAAATACAACTCATCCATTAAAAATACAGGCAGTTTGTCTTTGAGGACTTTGGCCTATTTTACCCTAACCCTATATATCAACTAATTTTTTTCCAAATACAATCCCAAATATGTCAGTTTCTTAATTCTTTTTTCAAGCAACTGGGACACCATTTGTCTTTTAGTGACATTTTAGTCACTGAAACAATATTATGCGTTATTTTACGATGGTGGTTTTTCTCCAAAATTTGACCTGATGAATAACAAGCCAAGGGGGCTGTAAGGTCGTATGTGGAGCTGGAAGCTCCTTGGACATCCTTCAGCATGACACAGCACATCACAAGAAGGTACCTACTGTAAGAAGTCAGGGCCAAGCCTGTAAGCCTTAACAAAGCCACTAAATGCCTTTTCTACACTACGGCCCCAAACAAGGTTGAATATGACATTTAGAAGAGAGAGTGCCCATGATAAGAGACGGGATAAATGAATGACCTAAGCTGGTCTGTAAGCTTGGACAGAAAGCTGCCTGTCTTTTGATACATGTCAGGATAATGTGGTGCTTCTCCACGGGTCAGTACACCTGCGAGTGGTACCGCCGCAGATCCGATCAGCTCTCCTCACCCTTCAAGTAATGTAATTCAGCGCTTTTTATGAAATACAACCACACACGTCTTATTAATCTACATATAACACTTTTATTTATCCTAGAATTCCTTTATAGAACACTGTACGGATCTGTAAGACCTTGGAATATCGGGGTTTGGAAATGATCTGCTCAGTCGGGGTTACTCTGACGCTATACAGTAAGTTAATCATTTGAAGTTATTTTTGAAGGATAAAGCATTGAAAATGATTTAAAAATATAAGGAACACTGTGCATCACTCTATTTTTTTTCAGCCTGATGAATCTTATGATGATCGTTGTCCATTCAACCACAACCTTGGAAGGCTTTAATTGGTGTGGACTTTTGATGAGGGTTTGGGTTAGAGAGACTCTGATTTGGGTTATCGAGACTTTTTAATGAGGCCTAAGTTATTAAGGCGTAGGATCTGCAGAGTACAGGGATAACGGGGTAATGTCCTATGGATAGGAGGGAGATGTCACTCTAACCATATAAGGGATCGAGGGAATCAGCGATTTCTAAACATGTTGCACTGCTGGACTTCTCCAGACCACTTGCACCAGCCATCAAATCAGGAAGGCATGTTTGGCCATGTGGTACCTCTTATCCAATCAGGAGTAAAGGTGATATTTAAGGATGTTTGTAAAAACTCACCCTTTTATGGAGATTATTCCCTCTGTCCCTGATAGGACAGGGAGAGCCTGCCACCATAAAATTAGCACATCAATCTGCAATCGGCTGAACTGTCAGTGCCGTGCTCCCATTGGCTATGCACACCATCACATGGTATCACACTGTATCACTATGACTACAGCAGGCTCTCTCGCAGGGGACGGCCATCCGTGAACCTTCAGTTAGAAAGAGGCAGTGAACTTGGATAAGTTCATTTTTCATAACTTCAAACCTTAATATGCAAATCTGACCCATTTCTTCGCACGCGTAAGTGGAATAACCGTGCATGCTAAAACATCATTAGCCGCAGTAATATTAGCATATGCTCTGCAGCATCTTTTCAGTCAAACCAATTTCCTCGGAAAGGTCTAGTGTTTTGGCTCATTTTAAAATCAAACATTTGTGCTGATGGCCACCTCCTTTGTGAAAAAGCCGTAAAACATTTGCCTCATATTTATTTCTCATCTAGATTAAACTCATAGACATCATAGTTTTATTAGAAATCGCAGTTCTCCTGCTGACTTTCTGACTGGGAGAAAATGCAGTGTGTAGACTGGCTGGACACGCTGTTTATCCAGTTTGCCCAGTCTGCCCCTAGCAAATAGGGTGGCACTTCCCAGCTTGGACTGTGGACTGTGTCTGGAGAGAAGCGTCTGTTCCGCTCTAAGACAGAGCAGTCGCCGCCTGCGAGCGCTGTAGCACCCTGACGGTCCCTAATGCTCCCAAAGTTTCCCCAAATGCCCCCCTCCAGCCCATTTTCCCCCCACACCTGTGTCAGCATTGCAGCTGAGGACCCTCCCTGGTGATAAGAATGTGGCCCTCACCCCTTCCCCACTAAAGAAATAAAGCTTTCAACCTGCAAATAGAAAGAAAAGCTTTCATCCCCGCAGATTTTTTTGCTCTGAAATGATATTTTTCTTCTTGTCATCCCTTCATTAATCAGGAGGAGGGGCGGCCTGTTTTGTTGTGGAGCGGGCAGTGTGTGTCACTGTGTGTGTGCGTGTGTCCCCGGGCGCTAATCTGTGCCTGTGGCAGGCCTCCCCTCCGAAACCCGGCGCTAAGCACCAGCATCGCTGCCCTATTGTTGTAGCGGCTGTCAGAGCACAGAGACTTGGGTGCCAGCCTGTGCCGCTCTGATAAGGGGAAGAAGCCGCGGTGATGGCCGGGGAGGGGAATCCGCGAGACGGCTGGGGGCCACGCGGGCACATACGCATACAGTACGCAAACAAGTCTACACACACGCATGTGTGTGTCTCTGCAAAGGGCTCACATCAGCTATTAACTTAACCTGCCACTTTGAGTCACATGACTTAATTATGTAAAAATAATGGTAAACATGTGATCATATGTACAAAACGATCACATGTTCCAGTGCTTCCTGTGCTATTTGTTCCTTATATGATTCTTCTATGTCATTTTGACCAGCTGACTCCTGTATCAGATCACGTTGAATTCAGATCTCCAATGTAAGAGAGAAACCTAAGTTTCTCTGTCCCTAACCTTCCCACCTGTTTCGACGGAGATCCAATCGCCTCCGATTCATTCTGATTTCAGGAAATTATCCTCATGTTTGGGCCTTCCCCTTTTCGCTTGTGTTGAGGCCCCCCCCCCCCCCCCTTTCTGAGGAGTTGAGTCCCTTGCTGCCCTGACAGCTCCCAGGTTGAGGGCTATTACCGCGGCAAGTGCAGCAGGTTTGCAGTTTTGGACTGTTACATCATACGGTGATGCCCTTTCCAGAACACTCCACAGATATCCTCACTCGCAGTCACTAACGAAGAGCCCTCGCCGGCTGCCTCTCCGTACATGCGACAGACATGCAGCACCCGCGTTATTCCTCCACGATGCAGTAAACGAATCAGCTTTCCCTGACTGAATGGCTGCAGTGTTTCATGCCTCCTGGCAGTGCATTTGTGCACTTTCAGAGGCTCCGCACACTTCAGCTTGACGTGAGTCTGCCTGCAAGAGGAGAAACAAACTTCAGAGCGGATCTGCAGCTCCTCCAAATGAAATGCTAATGCCGCGTGCATTTCACTGCAGGCCAGGCTCTCGTCTACATCGCTCCCCCCGCTTTTCAGGGGTCACTCCCAACATGACCTTTTTCTCTGACTTCCTTTTTAGCCTAACCTCGGTCGATGAGGTTTTCCAGCTCAAAAAAGCTAAGCGGAATTGAATCAAATGTGTCGCATACACAGTTATGCTTTGTTGCCAAGACTGTGTTAACATGACCGTAGTATAGTAGAGATAAAACATCAAACACAGGCAACAGTCATAAATATCCATCAATATTGTGCAACTGGCAGTTGGAACGCACTGTAATCGAAAGTGGCTGCAGTTCCCTGTATCACTCTTGCATTTCCAGTGTGAAAAAAGAGTAGCAGTAGGGGTAGAATCACCCTTTTTTTTTAACTAACTGCAACTCGACTTTCTTTAACGAGCCAGCTTCCCCCAGAGAGCGCTGAGATTGTCACCTTGTCTCCAACCAAATGGCCACCTCCCCCCAGAGCTGGAGGGGAGATGGCTGGCCAACTGTGAAGCTGGGACCAAGCAGAGCTCCAGAGATGGCCCCAGGGGAGCCTGCGGGTGTCAGCAGGCAGCGAATTGCAAGTAGTTTCAGTGACGCGGAAGTATCCATTGAAGCAGCTCCAGCCCTGAAGTCAAGAGACAGTGTTTTCTGGAGAGCATCTCGAAGCTGCTTTAGGAGAGTCACTAATATACAGTACTTCTGGAGAACATTGCTAACATGTTACTGGACGGCATCCCTGACATGCTTCTGGAGAACGTTGCTAACATGTTACTAGACAACATCACTGACATTTTTCTGCAGAACATAGTTGACATGTTACTAAACACTTCAGAATAGACTGTAATGTAAAATATAACCAACTTAGCATATACAAGGCAGGATATCACAGCACTGGCATAAGGGTTCAACAGAAGACCCCTCCTGAATCCTGCGCCTTTTTGGTCACATTTAACTGGCAGCTGTTTTTTGCAGTCATTTGGCAGAAACATTTATCACAAGTGATTTATCAGATTACGCAGAATGCCCCAGCTCTTGAGTGCATTTCTTGTGTGTTTCTTGGAGAATAATCCGCCATATCAGGACTTAGGACTGGTGTCTGGGTCTGGTCAGGTTCACTGGGTTCAAGAAGCAACTGAAGTGATTGATTTGAGTAGTT